GTTCTATAAAAGTCTTTATTACTAAAATATTTTAATATATTTATTAATAACTCAATTCTAATTAAAGATAATAACTTACTTACTTAGATTATATCAATATTAAATTTTATCAAAAATACCTAATTCTGTATGATAATAAAAAATATGATAATTATATATAATTTGAACTTCTAGTTAAACTGGATAAAAAATATCCTATAATTTTAGAATTAATTCAAGAAGAAAAAAATAAGCTAATTGAGAAAATAAATATTATTCCTATTTCAAATTAATTCTCTCAACTTAAATTGACTAAAATTCAAGAAAAATTCAATATTATATATTAGATACTTAATAAATTTTCATAATAATTTAATAACTATTTGAAAGAATCTCTTATTGAATAAAATAATGAATATTATATAATTAAAATTTATAATAATCAAGACAAAAAAAATTATTAGAAAAAGCTTATTCAACTATACTAGCTATAATATTTATTATATGAAAAAAGAAATAATCTGAATACTATTTATTAAGTTATACTAATAAATATATATATTATCATAAAATTTTTTGTAGAAGTTATAATATCTTATTCATCTCTTGTTAAACAAGAAATTAATGTAAAAGATAAAACTATTAACTTTGGATATACTAAAAATATTAGTATTATTATTCAAAATGATTCAGAAAAAGATTATATTATTTAACTAAACCAGAAAATCACTTAATTAATATTTTTATAACTTATGCCTATTGAATAACTTAAATTAATTTCTAATTGAGAAAAACTTAATTTAGTTATGAAATTACTAAATTTAAATTTATTAATCATTAAGAAGCTTATACCTATTTTCTAAAATCAGAATAAGAAAAAAAAGTTATTAAACAATAAAAATTAATTGCAAAATAAGAAAGACTTCTTATATAATTATTAAAAGATAATACTAATATCTTTATTATTAAATTATATCAACTTGATCAAAGTAATCTAATTCAATATAAGATATATACTGAATTAAATCACCTATTAAATAATAATCTTATAGAATAACTCTTTCAGATTAATTATTTATATTTGAAAAAATTTAAAGAATGCTAGATACTAATATAATTTGATCTTTAACTAATTCTTAAACTTTATTTATTATTATAATTTTAAAAAAGAATAAAAAAAGATTCTGTATTAATTATAGAAAACTAAATATAATTACTTAAAAAGATATATATTCATTATCTAAAATTGATGAAATAATAAACTTACATGGAAATGTCTATTAGTTTTTATCTATAAATCTAATTTTTAGATACTAACAAATTGAAATAAAAGAAGAAGATAAATTTAAAACTGCTTTTATTTTCAAAGAAAAACTTTTTGAATTTAATATTATATCTTTTGGATTATATAATATTCCAGCAACTTTTAACAAATAATGAATACTATGCGCCATGCGAAATCACTTTTCTACTATCACAACTAAAATCTCATGAAAAAGGAAATTTCTGGAAAATACGAAAATCTATGTTCTTCGTAACCCTAACATTTATGCCACGAAGAATTAAAAGTAATGTGCTAGAATTCGGCAAAGTATGAAAATACAAGAGATATAGTTCTGTAACAAAAAAACCGTAAAATACAGAATCGCTTAATTCACATTGTTTATGTGACCTGATGCATAACGTAAAAATAGGCATAATAAACATGAATAACTTAATATATTTAACAATATTATTTTGTCTTAGAATTCTCAAATAAAACACTTCCAAATGTTTGCATCTAAAAAATACCTAACATCTACTAATCTATAATAACATTAAAAATTAAAAAAAACCTGGTACAGTAGATAGAACACCCAGTAACCCCAATTGTAGGCCAAAAAAAGAACAAAGATTTTCCGTGCCCTTGGACAACATATTGGAAATGATATCTCAATTTCAACACGAATTTCGACTGGCAAATTAAATCAAAAATATTGAGATAATTTATATGACTATTTCAAGACATTTAGATATCTAAAATCTCTTCAAAAAAATTGTTTCAATGTCTACTGATCTTCACAAACAAAAGTATGCTGAATGGGCAAAAAATATCTTATTTACGACTGGAATAAGACTTATTCTCAGATAAAACAGTTTTTCGGCTATTTTATAATATAAAATGCTGACATAAAAGCACATGCCCAATTTAACATGCTAATTTTAGCTTTTCGATGAATTATGATTGCTGAATTTTATGTTGAAATTCTTCAAAGTCATATTCCAGAAATTAATCAAATCTTTGAAAAATAATTTGCCATTTTAACTAGTCAATAATAGAGCATGCAAGTCAGCTTGCTAATTGAAAATTTAAAGGAAACATAGAGAAGCGAATGCCACAAAATCTTAATGAATTAAAAATATTTAAAATAGAATAGTGGCGTATTAGTGACGTTGTGAGCTTAATATTGGTTTTAAACAATATCGATATGATTATGGAATACAAAAAGATGCCAAAAGCAGCAAATGATGGAAATTTTTGGACAATATTGAAAGAATCAAAAAAGTGGTTTGCTATTGAGGTTAAAATGATTACGAATTTCTATCATTTGCCCTATTTTCTCTTGTAATTTACGGTCAAACATCTCTAAATACAACCTCCATAAATGCTAGCATTATATAAACTCTCTCTAAATGCATCCAAGCTTATAAGAAATTATTTTATTCTCCATTGAATAGGCTTCACTGATTTAATATTGACATATTTAATTTATTACTATCAAATTTTTCAGCGTTATCAATCTAAATAAAAATTTTTATTATTTCTAGATTTAATCTATATTATTAGAATTCATGTCCCTTTTACTTCATTCCTTTATATTAATTCTGCTCTTGTATAAGAAAGCAGAATCATCATAAGTTTTTGTAGTTCATAAAGTTTAAGGTATAAATACATGTAAAAGATACCGTGACTGCATACATAGTTTCGAAATCCAAAACCCATACATGCACATTTAAAACGTTCTTATCAAGACTTGCATTTGTATCCAATTTCATCATATACAAGTTTTTTTCCTTAAAGAAAATACGTATTCCAATTGATATCATAGCACATAACGCACGTGCATTCCTTTTACAGTACATGTATATACAATCCCGGTAGATTTCAATCCGATAATGAAACCAGCTAACTAAGATTTAGAAATTGGATCAGGTTCATTGTGCATCAGCTGAACTTTTTTTCCGGTTTACGGAAGATAAAAATTTTTTCCGGAATATTTTTCATTTTAGGCCATTTACAGTAACGTGTTTCTTTTTCGTTCAAAACCAGTTTATTTTGAACTGGTTGCGTACGTGTTTGTTTATTAACGTTAACCCAATTTTATTAAAACCGATTTTTGTGCCAAAAATAAAACCGGTTTTATGTTAAATTGGTTATAATTGAACCGGCCTCTAAATTGAACTAAACTAAAAGTTCTACGTTAACAAATAGCGGGGCATTGATAAATAATTAGATATCAGATGCTACCACTACCGCATGATAAACGAAATTTTCTGGTCGATAAAAACAATCGGATTCACTCTATAAAGTACATGTATTGTTCCGATAATTGGGGTTCTTATACTAAAATTTATGTAAAGAGAAAAATTGTCCGTATGTTCATTTCTTTGCAGGCGCAAATGACCTTAATTAATAATGAGAAGCTGTTTTTATTCATAAGATCCAGAATTTTGTAATAATATAAAAAGAAAAGCGTCTAAACTAATAAAGATTTGCGGAATGAGTGCAAAACTACATGTAGTTTTGTTGGAAAAAAATTCTTTTTAAGCTGGTTTGCATGAATTTGATTAATTGGATGTTCTACCGAGAGCATTAACGTATATGTGAGATTTCAAGTGTTGAGAACATTTTAAGGATCATTACAATATTGCGTACTACTTATGTAACGTTAAAAACAGAAATCAAAATAATTGTACATATATTTATATGCTATAAATTAATTCTTGAAATTACATTTTAAGTTGTATATTAAGTTGTATGTTGAGAAAAATAATTAGTTAACTAGAGTATCTAACGCTAAAAGAAAAATAGTATCCCAAAATGTACAATCATAAGCAAAATTCAAAATGTCATATATATATATAAATTTAAACAAAAAAAAGTCATATCAAATCATATATCGATATTAATTAAATTGCTCTGGTTTTCATATTAGCCCACATTTTAAACTCCTTACAAATTTTCGAATGTTCACCACCTGGCAAACAACTATCACGTTTCGGAACCACACGAACATGTTGCAGCTTCTCAAACGCCGGTTTAGACAGAGGAGAAATCATGTCGGGTGAGGTAAGTCCACGACAACTGCTCAACGTTAATGTTTTGAGATTCGTGCACTCGGCCAACGCTGTGAACATTAATGGTTTCTCGTTGAAATCGATTTCTTTGAGCGTCACGTGTTGTAATGTTGATTTCTGGGTTAGAATCGCGGCGCATAATTGCTCGTTGTTGTATAGATGACAATTTTGGAGGGTAAGTGATTTGAGATGTTTTTGTGATTGGATGAGAAATACTGATGCATTGGATTTTTTGTGGATGTATGCGTGTAAACCTAACCATTGATCTATTATCGAGGAAAAATATCGAACCGTTATATGTTCCTATTATGATTGTAAATTAGTTATTGAGAAGATATGATGGGTGCATCTAATCAACATCAAATCAAAATTAAAAGTGAAAACTTACAACTTTACTACAAATTGAAGTCAACGCTTGAACTTCATTATCACCACCATCAAAAGATCCACACAACTCCAAATGTTTAACATCCCTCAACAAACAATGAACATCTTTATACACCGTTAACGGTGTATACATCCCACGCTGATATCTATTCACACCCGGATACAATTGCAAAACCTTTAATCTCGCTCCCTCTTTCGCAAACAACTGCAATACAGTCTTTATCAGCAACAAATACGAGTCATTTGATTGTCCACGTTTCGCACAATGCTTTTTGCAGAAATTCCGGCAACAATCGATCAACGCACCATAGTTCAAATGCTTGATGTGCCTAGCGTATGCTAATTTCATGGCGGGATGTGATTTCTGCTTCGTGGAAGTTGAAGGTTTGACATCAATATCGATGCCGGAAGTTTTAAGTAATCCTCGTTGAATCACATCAAGCGACGCCAAATACACGGATAAAACTTTCAGATTTTGCTGTGGATGATATTTTCTTATTGGTTGACTCCACAATATTGGAACTACCGCTTGTGCCCATGCTCGCGATACCAGCAGACAGCTGTATAAATCTTGATAAACGGAATATTCGAAAATTTCCGTGTGGTCGTTGCTCGTAATCCCAGCCACGTGAAAAAATATTTGTACTAGAACGTCGAATGCTAATGCTGGTTTCGTTGTGGTTATTCTTTTCGCTGTTTTTATTATCATCCTAGTTGGTTTTTTATTCTTTGAAATTGTCGTCAGCGATTTTTTGTCTTGAATCTTCTGATGCATTTCTATTATTACGTTTGATGATGAGAATTTATTTGGCGAAATTTAAAAAATCGAAGAAATTAATAAGCGGAAAGAAAAAAAATCAAAATGAGAAAAAATTTGTGGGTGATGCCTATTATTATGAGAGTTACTTGGTTTTTCTCACACAGTTGCTATCATAATACATGTAATAAAGTTGTCTCGACTTGTGAGACAATAATAATAATGATTTAAAAGTTTAGTGATACATCAGATACATGTACATGTATTAGCGTCAGTATTAACTTTAATAATCGATATCGGATATATAAAAACCAAAATTAATTTTTTCGCAAAAATAAATCGATTAAACATATAAAAAATTCAATAAATGCTATTTTATCTCATGCTTCTCTATGCCGATAGAATTTTATCCAACTCAATTACATTTATTATTTATTGGTATTGTATGTGAGAAATAAGCAGGCAAAATGCGCGTGCTGATACTGCTTCTTGCTTGCTGCCGATTACTGTGCATGCAAGAAACATTTTTTTTTGCTCACCACTATTTATTGTTCTCCTCATGTTGTTCCTTTTTTTTCTCTTTGTCTCGTGTATCTATAGCACTAATAAGCGTAAGTGTGTGTTCGCTAAAGCCCTTTTTCTTAAATAAAGTATCGCATGCACTCGCATCATAAAGATCTAACTATGGAATCAGCATAATTGCGTTATACTTAAATATAATCACACACATTTCAATGCATTTTATAATGCCAATTCCAAAAATATATTATAATACCGTATTCTAGTATGCAGATTCTTGGAACTTACAGTTAAAAATGTGTTCTGTAAGGAAAAAATAATGGACTAGATTCCAATCAGCCAGTGTAAAACGGTCGATACAATACGTAATGTGCATTTCGTACCACAACATTATCGTCACCCGTTTTTTTTTAATTCTTCGTTGTTTACCTTATTTTCTCCCGATTATTTATTGCACACCACAACAAACAAAACGGTCGATTCTTATCGAATCTACAAACCGGTTTTTTTATTTTTTGATATGCCTCATTGATCCCGCATGCATTTAACATTATTGGCGATGATCTATTCAATTGGATGAGGGCTATTCGGAACAAATCTGATGATGATCCGTCCGGTGAAGTCGATTGTATTTTGTTCTCCATATTTAGGTGCTCATAATAAATACAAGGTCATACATATAAAGAAGAAAAGAAGACGCAATTCCAATGGAGTGAAGAATATTGGATTACACTACTATTAATCCGTTTGTATAACTGTTTTAAAATACATGTCGTAAACAAACGTTAAAGACATTTTTCATCAATTCATCCGCTACACATCTCACACCTATTGAGTCCTTTCTTTTCATGCTTTGAACTTGTTTTATTTTTTAAAGAATCTCAAAAAGTCATTTAAAGGGAAGAAATTAGAGTTTTCCCCGCGTGTGATTCATGATTTCGGGGTATGCATTAATTGTATCAAATTAGGTTTTACTATTGGTCCCTTTAAAAAATTTGAGAATGAATGAATCAATCAACCAAATAAACAAAAAATTTTAAATAGGTGTTTAAAATAATAGAAATTGATTTAATTTTTAATTTTATACTTATAATAAAATCTTGAAACTACCTGATTTATTTTGGAAAGACATTTGATAATATATTGTACATGTAATTCTTGATTTATTGGCATGTTTATTTTTTATGTATTTTTCAATATATTTACCATCTTTTTGATTTCATTCGAAAAGGCAACAGTGAAGTAAAATGAGTAAATAATTCTATTTTTAATTTAAATTTGTTTTTCTACTTTTAGCTTGCTTTCAAATAATATATATGCTTCTGACATATGTAGCAAGATATTTAATGAACTATCAATAATGTATTATTAATTATATCTTTATATAATATAACATTTCTTAGCTTATATATACTATTGATTTTTTTTATCTCGATGTTTCTTTACATCTTTATTATATATAAAAATGAATTTCAAAATTTTAAAATAAAAATTATACTGTATAAAATATCAAATATTTTTTTAAAGAAATGAAAATCTATTTGTATTAGATAATTTTTAGTTGTATTTATTTAAATAAAAATTATAATTTGAATATTTAGAAATTTATAATTTTTATAAATTTAATATTCTTTACTAAATCAAATTTATTTTATAATCTTAAATTTAATTAAAATTGATTTTTAGACCAGTTCAAAAATGATATTCAAAAATTTATATAATTAAATTACTATAACTTTTTGTTCAAATTGCTTAAGAACCAATTCTATATTTAAAATATAAGATAAATATATATTTATTAATTATATTTAATAAATAATTATTTATAGATTATTTTTATTTATTTCTTCTATTATATAATTTAATATTAAATATATAAGATAAAAAATCTTTATTTATTAACTAAAAATAATAAATAATTTATTTATTTTTATTATTATAAAAACTTTATTTTATTTCTTTATTTTATATTAATAATTAATATAATAATTCATAAAAAATAAAATATTAAATTATCTTTATATTAAAATTTATAATTTTTTTATCTTTTTTATTTTTATATTAAATTAATTATAATTATTATTATAATTATTATATATTATTTTATTAAATATAAAAATTTTAATTTTATTAATAATATTTTTTATTTTTAATTTATAATTTATTTAAATTTTTTTAAAAAAAATTCTAATTATATAAAAACTAAATATTTTTATTAATTATTAATTAATAAATTTTAGAAAAATATTTATAAATATTTAAAAAATATATAATTAATTAATATAATATAAGATCTTAATATAAAATAAAAATATTTTATAATATAAAAAATATTATAAATTTTTATTTTTTATTTTATAACTTTATAAATTAATTATTAAGAATAATATTTTGATTTAAATTATATAAAAATATTATTTAATTTAAAATATAAGAATTCAAGTAGTACTATCTTTATATAATTAAAATTTTAGTATTATATTTATTTTAATATATTTATAATACTTTTTTTATAATTTATTAAAGAATTACTCTTTATTAAATTTATTTGAAATAAATTTATTTTTAATAATAATAATAAATATAAAAAGATTTTAAATAAAAATTTTTATAAAAAAATAAATAATAATTATATATATATTATATAACTTTATCTTTTTCTTTTTTATATGATAATTTATTTTAATGAGATCAAAATAATATAATTTATAAATTTTTTTTGATTTACTTTTATAATTTATAATATTTTCTAATTAATTAAATATTATTTAAGTTTTATAAATAATAATTTTAATAAAAATTAATATAAAGTTTTTATTTTCATTTTTAATAATATTTATATTATTATTAAAAATTATTTTTAAATTATTTTTTAAAGATTATAATTTTATAAAATATTTTAAAATATATTTTAATTTAATTTATTAAAAAATAATTTTTATTATAATTATTTTAATAAATAAAATTTATATTAAATTATTCTTTTTGTAATAATTTTGATTAAATTATATCTTTTTTTAGTTTAGATCTTTAGTTTGCACTATCTGTATTACAGATTAGTTTTGTATTATATTTTTAAGAAGATCAATTTCATTTTGAATATACAGATAATTATTATATATTTAATATATTAAATTTAGTATATTATCACATAGATAATCACTATATATATTTATATTATTAATTTAGATAATTAATATTTTTAATTAGATATTTCTTTTAATAATTCTTTATATTTTTATTTGTTCTCATATATTATTATTTATTATATTATTAATTAGTAAATTATAATTAGTTATTTTTTAAAGATATAAATTAAGTTAATTAATTCTGTTTAATCTATATATATTTTAATTATAGATTATTATTAATTCATTTATATTTTATATTCATTTTTTTTCTTATAAATATGATCTGTTTATTTTATATTTTTAATTTCATATCTAAATACTTTTAAATAATAAAAATAATTATAAATTATAAAATTATAACTATTTATATTATATTTTATCTTATTTATAATTATTAATAAAATAATCTTATAACTTGATAGTAGTAGATATAATTATTATAAATATCACTCTTTAATATCTTATATATTACATATTATATACTATATACTTCATATATATATTTTAGTTTTAATAAAATAATATTTATCAAGATGAACTCAGATTAATTCACTTAATTTATATAAGTATGACTCAATTAATTAAAATAATTAAAGAAAATGATCCTTCTAATCCTAAATCTATATCTCATCTCTTAGTTAAAATTCTAATATACTTATCTGAATTAAAGATGGCTCCTCAATTAGTTACAGCTTACAGCAGTCAATTAGAGAGTTGTGACAGAGTTGCAGCAGCTAATCAGAGAATTGTGATAGAGTTGCAGCTAGTTGTGGCTCCCATTACTAGTCTGAATTATGCAAGTTAAAATTATATTTCAGATTCAAGAAATCACAAATAAGAAGACTCAAATATAGTATGCTATCACCTCTTTAACAGATATAATTTTATATTGATATTTTAACAAAATAAAGACATAATAATATTTTATCTTTTAAAAATTGATAAGTCTTTGTTATAGCTCTTAGAGATATATTCTAATTATTATATTATTAATAATATCTTCATAAAGAATTATATCTCCTTCATCAAACTAATTCAATATAAGATTATAATACTAAATTTAGAAATATAGTTAGTTAAATAACTAATATAAATGATCTAGATTAAGCATATACTTATAGAAGATTTTAAATTCATTATCAAAATAGAAATTAGTTATTAAGCTCTAAAATATTAGAAGATACTTGAAAATTAACTATTCACTTTGATATTACTATGTATAAATAAAAAAAATTCTTGAAAATATTAAGCAAATAAAATAATAGTCATCACTTTTAAAATTAATACAGAAGTTACCAAAATAATAGTCTAATATCAATAAAACTAGATTAAGCAGAAAGCTTTTATAATAATAGAAGAATAATAATA